CCCTTGTAAATTCACAATTTCTTCTGTCAAATTTTTGTGATGTAATAAATGCTTTTTTATTTTTGCCCAGGGGAATGCAGACTGATTATATAGAACCGAAGTGACACAAAAGGCACTTTGATTCCAGTCACAACGTAGCTTCATTTGTCTTTGTAAATTTACAAGTTGGTCCCCCAACATAACCACAGCTTGTTGTAAGTCTGCTATTTCCGAATGTATTTCCGAATCACTTTGTTGTTGAGAGGACCAAAGCATTTCAGAATTTTTATGCCAATCAGTTATATAATCAACGGTCTGAATAGATTGTTCTAAAGCAACTCCAGCTACTGCAGCAGTAGCTGTTATGGCTATAATACCCATGACAGCTGTAATCAACATTCCTACAAATCTTTTACTTGTTTTTAATGCATCAGTTAAATATTGCAAAACAGCCATAGGAAGAGATTCTTGCCATTCCCTTCCAAGATTGACAGGAAGCCAAAAACCTGTCCGAACTTGTAAGATATACAAACTTTTAGTAGATATGTTAAAAGATATACTAGAGTTAATACAGGTATACAGAGAGCAATTTTTACATATTATAATACCTAGAGTCTTATTCCATTCAGCTGGTCCCTTTAACAATATATAAGGTAATTTCACACAACTACGAGTATACCGAGTAACATTTTTATGAAAAGTCAAACTATGATTTCCAGATTTGTTAACCATATGTCCTACCCAAGCATTAATATTTTCCAAAGCTGCCATAAGCTTCCACAAGTCCTTTTTGATGGGATATCCATTTAAATGAGGACCAGGAGGAGAAAACCCTCCTGCATGCCATACTATGGTATCATTAATAGTATTGCTATAAATAGTGTTATCCTCTCTATGCCAGTGTAAATTCTTCAGACCCCTTTTTCCTCAGGTGGAGCCAAAAGGGCTCCAATCAGTGACACTTCCCCAAGAAGTATTAACAAGAACCCGAGCCATTTCCCCTCGGCATCGAGTCCAATGGACCCAATCCGATAATTGATCCAGAAGAGGCACCTGGCATGGAGGCAAGTAAGGTGTGGAAACATTCTCATTAAGAGTGGAATTAGAACTTTTAAAACTATAAGCACTCAAAAGATATAACCCATGATATCTGCTTTCATTTTTGACAACACTTAACCATGCCTGATAATTCATTTTAAGGCAATGATCTCCCTTTCCCGTACAAATAGGAGGTCCACTAACACCCACCGTGTAATTCTCTATTATCCTTCCTTCTTCTTCCGGCTTCAAAGGGCCTCTATCATCAAAAGGACCAGGCAACCATCCAGACTCATTTACCTATACAAGAATTGGGGCATCCCACCAGGTAACCCCCATATTAAGAGGAGGGTTAGGAATATATGTCCAATAAGTATGGTTAGTACAATTTTTCTCATTGGCTGATATGCTTATTACCTGTGCAGACAACACTGCCAGCATGGCCTCAAAAAGACTGGTGCTATTGAGGGGTTTACCCTGTGAAATGATAAGATTTTTGGTAGTGTCTGTAAACTTTTTCACTTGCCACCAGGTCAATGGAGGCGCCTTCTTCTTTCCATCAAGTCTTAAACTGCATATATTGTCCAGGTTCAAGAACAGTCTTGGCAAGTGCCTCCCAATCCTGAGGAATTAATATGTTTTCGGAAGCATACCTAGACAAAAGACCTTGAACATAATTAGAATGCATCCCATATGCATTAATGGCTTCTTTTAGCATTTTTAAAATTTTTATATCATGATGGTTATACACAACATTTACATATCCATTCGGAAATTGATCATTAGCAGGCATAGCTTGTCTAACAATAGGGAAAGCAAAAAATGATTCAGAATATTGCTTTTCTTCCTTATTCATCTCTTCTTCCAACAATAGTCTATTAGATTCAGGTTTTAGAGGAAAGCGAAACTGACGAGAGGCTCCAACAGGATAAGCTGCTAATTCTAAAGGAGGAGCCGAAGGAATAGTAGGACATGGCTCTTGATATAAAGGAGTGGTAACATTGTTTTTATTTTCTTCCAATTTAACCATCAAATTTTTTAACTTTGAAAGTATATCAGAAATCTCATTCTGTTGAGAAAGTGGCATCTCATTTTGTTTTCTAGCCTGCTCCCGATCTTTATCATCATCAGAAAAAGCCCCTTCATCACTGAAACCTGAAAAATCCTCTCATGTCTCAGACACAAGGGGAGGAGGAGGCGGAGGAAGGTCCTCTATAGGAGATTCACGAAATAGAGTACAAAAAGCAGCAGAATGATCGGGAGAAGAATTCGGACGCTGAGGGCGCACCCCATTTTCACTTTCAGTTTCAGATTGTAATGGTTCCAGGGCAAGGGAAATTAATTTACAAAGAGACCAAACACGGACAGATATAGGGTCTCCACGCTGATGAGCTCTTCTTAAGGCTCGCATAACCTGTTTCCAAACTTTTAAATTCAACTGGTTATGACCAGTAGGTTGAAACCAGTAACAATGTTTACGAACCAGCGCAAACAATTCATCAAAAGATTCTGGTTTCACTTTCACTCCTGAACTCCATAATAACTGTTTCAGGAGTCTAATGTATTGAAATTCTACTGAATGGGAATTCCCCATTACAGTTACTCTACTGCTCCCGAAGGTTTCACTTACTCTTGAGCGTACCAAATTCCCCTTCGGTCCTGCGATCACGCGATTACTTACTTTCAGGTCCCTGTTCGGGCGCCAAATGTTGCAGTTTTTCTTATGACAGGGTTTCCGAAAGCAAGCTCATCACACGAGATGAACTGTGCCGAAACACAGCAGTAGAGGGCTGCCTCTCGCTCAGGCAAAACAGCGCTGTCTGTCCTGCTGTGGTAGTTTTTATTTAAGCATTATCTATGTTTACATTTTAAGACTTGTTTTCTTAACATTCCAGAAATGCCAAAGCAGCAACATATGCTTTTATTGATTATACAAGCAACAATGGGCTTCATTGAAAACATGCCGTGCTTCGTCCTTGAGCGCAAAAGCAGCACAAGGATATTGCCTTGTGTTTCCATTATTCTGATTATACTGAAGTAGCACAAGGACATTTCCTTGTGTTCCCACCATTCTGATTATACTGAGGACATCTCATGGATCAGTGCCCAAAGCACTCAATGCTTATTCGCAAGCCCCCGGTTTGCCGGGGTGGGGGGGGGGCGACTCAAAGCATCCAGGACTGTTTGCAGTTCTGGCTTATTTGCATGCCCCCGTTTTGCCGGGGGGGCGGGGGCTCAAAGCAATAAGGACTGTTTCCAGTTCTGGCTTATTCGCCAGCCCCCAGTTTGCTGGGGGGGGGGGTGCTCATGCGCCATGTCTCCTTTCCATGTCCTCAGTTATTCCACTACACGTCTCCCTCCCTCCCACCCTCCATATCCCACCCCTCCAGGTGGTCACAAAGCACCGAGCTGATATCCCTGTGCTATGCGGCTGCTTCCCACTAGCTATCTACCTTACGTTTGGTAGTGTATATATGTCCATGCCTCTCTCTCGTTTTGTCACAGCTCACCCTTCCCCCTCCCCATATCCTCAAGTCCCTTCTCCAATAGGTCTGTGTCTTTACTCCTGTCTTACCCCTAGGTTCTTCATGACATTTTTTTTCTTAAATTCCATATATATGTGTTAGCATACGGTATTTGTCTTTCTCTTTCTGACTTACTTCACTCTGTATGACAGACTCTAGGTCTATCCACCTCATTACAAATAGCTCAATTTCGTTTCTTTTTGTGGCGGAGTAATATTCCACTGTATATATGTGCCACATCTTCCTTATCCATTCATCCGATGATGGGCTCTTAGGTTGTTTCCATGTCTGGGCTATTGTAAATAGAGCTGCAATGAACATTTTGGTACATGACTCTTTTTGAATTTTGGTTTTCTCAGGGTATATGCCCAGTAGTGGGATTGCTGGGTCATATGGTAGTTCTATTTGTAGTTTTTTAAGGAACCTCCATACTGCTCTCCATAGTGGCTGAACCAATTCACATTCCCACCAGCAGTGGAAGAGTGTTCCCTTTTCTCCACACCCTCTCCAGCATTTATTGTTTCTAGATTTTTTGATGATGGCCATTCTGACTGGTGTGAGATGATATCTCATTGTAGTTTTGATTTGCATTTCTCTAATGATTAACGATGTTGAGCATTCTTTCATGTGTTTGTTGGCAGTCTGTATATCTTCTTTGGAGAAATGTCTATTTAGGTCTTCTGCCCATTTTTGGATTGGGTTGTTTGTTTTTTTGTTATTGAGCTGCATGAGCTGCTTGTAAATTTTGGAGAGTAATCCTTTGTCAGTTGCTTCATTGGCAAATATTTTCTCCCATTCTGAGTGTTGTCTTTTGGTCTTGTTTATGGTTTCCTTTGCTGTGCAAAAGCTTTGAAGTTTCATTAGGTCCCATTTGTTTATTTTTGTTTTTATTTCCATTACTCTAGGAGGTGGGTCAGAAAGGATCTTGTTGTGATTTATGTCATAGAGTGTTCTGCCTGTGTTTTCCTCTAAGAGTTTGATAGTTTCTGGCCTTACATTTAGGTCTTTAATCCACTTTGAGCTTATTTTTGTGTATGGTGTTAGGGAGTGATCTCATCCCATACTTTTACATATAGCTGTCCAGTTTTCCCAGCACCACTTACTAAAGAGGCTTTCCTTTCTCCACTGTACATTCCTGCCTCCTTTATCAAAGATAAGGTGTCCATATGTGTGTGGCTTTGTCTCTTGTCTTTCTATCCCGTTCCATTGATCTATCTTTCTGTTTTAGTGCCAGTACAATACTGTTTTGATTACTGTAGCTTGGTAGTATAGTCTGAAGTCACGGAGCCTGATTCCTCCAGCTCCGTTTTTCGTTCTCAAGATTGCTTTGGCTATTCAGGATCTTTTGTGTTTCCATACAAATTGTGAAATTTTTTGTTCTAGTGCTGTGAAAAATGCCAGTGGTAGTTTGATAGCGATTGCATTGAATCTATAGATTGCTATGGGTAGTAGAGTCATTTTCACAATGTTGATTCTTCCAACCCAAAAACATGGTATATCTCTCCATCTATTTGTATCATCTTTAATTTCTTTCATCAGTGTCTTATAATTTTCTGCATACAGATCTTTTGTCTCCTTAGGTAGGTTTATTCCTAGATATTTTATTCTTTTTGTTGCAATGGTAAATGGGAGTGTTTTCTTGATTTCACTTTCAGATTTTTCATCATGAGTGTATAGGAATGCCAGAGATTTCTGTGTATTAATTTTGTATCCTGCAACATTACCAGATTCATTGATTAGCTCTAGTAGTTTTCTGGTAGCATCTTTAGGATTCTCTATGTATAGTATCATGTCACCTGCAAACAGTGACAGCTTTACTTCTTCTTTCCAATTTGGATTCATTTTATTTCCTTTTCTTCTCTGATTGCTGTGGCTAAAATTTCCAAAACTATGTTGAATAAGAGTGGTGAGAATGGGCAACCTTGTCTTGTTCATGATCTTAGTGGAAATGCTTTCAGTTTTTCACCATTGAGGATGATGTTGGCTGTGGGGTTGTCATATATGGTCTTTATTATGTTGAGGAAAGTTCCCTCTATGCCTACTTTCTGCAGGGTTTTTATCATAAATGGGTGTTGAATTTTGTCAAAAGCTTTCTCTGCATCTATTGAGATGATCATATGGTTTTTCTCCTTCAATTTGTTAATATGGTTTATCACATTGATAGATTTGCGTATATTGAAGAATCCTTGTATTCCTGGAATCAACCCGACCTGATCATGGTGTATGATCCTTTTAATGTGCTGTTGGATCCTGTTTGCTAGTATTTTGTTGAGGATTTTTGCATGTATGTTCATCAGTGTTACTGGCCTGTAGTTTTCTTTCCTTGTGACATCCTTGTCTGGTTTTGGTATCAGGGTTATGGTGGCCTCATAGAATGAGTTTGGGAGTGCTCCTCCTTCTGCTATATTTTGGAAAGTTAGAGAAGGATTAGGTGTTAGCTCTTCTCTAAATATTTGATAGAATTTTCCTGTGAAGCCGTCAGGTTGTGGGCTTTTGTTTGTTGGAAGATTTTTAATCACAATTTCAATTTCAGTGCTTGTGATTGCTCTGTTCGTATTTTCTATTTCTTCCTGATTCAGTCTTGGCAGGTTGTGCATTTCTAAGAAATTGTCCATTTCTTCCAGGTTGTCCATTTTATTGGCATAGAGTTGCTTGTAGTAATCTCTCATGATCTTTTGTATTTCTGCAATGTCAGTTGTTACGTCTCCTTTTTCATTTCTAATTTTAATGATTTGAGTCTTCTCCCTTTTTTTCTTGATGAGTCTGGCTAATGATTTATCTATTTTGTTTATCTTCTCAAAGAACCAGCTTTTAGTTTTATTGATCTTTGCTATCGTTTCCTTCATTTCTTTTTCATTTATTTCTGATCTTATTTTTATGATTTCTTTCCTTCTGCTATCTTATGGGTTTTTTTGTTCCTCTTTCTCTAATTGCTTTAGCTGCAAGATTCGGTTGTTTATTCGAGATGTTTCCTCTTTCTCAAGGTAGGATTGTATTACCATAAACTTCCCTCTTAGAACTGCTTTTCCTGCATCCCATAGGTTTTGGGTCGTCGTGTCTCCATTGTCATGTGTTTCTAAGTTTTTTTTTAATTTCCTCTTTGATTTCTTCAGTGATCACTTCATTATTAAGTAGTGTATTGTTTAGCCTCCATGTGTTTGTATTTTTTACAGATCTTTTCCTGTTATTGATATCTACTCTCATAGCATTGTGGTCGGAAAAGATACTTGATACAATTTCAGTTTTCTTAAATTTACCAAGGCTTGATTTGTGACCCAAGATATGATCTATCCTGGAGAATATTCCATGAGCACTTGAGAAAAATATGTTTTCTGTTGTTTTTGGATGGAGTGTCCTACAAATATCAATTAAGTCCATCTTGTTTAGTCTATCATTTAAAGCTTGTGTTTCCTTATTTATTTTCATTTTGGATGATCTGTCCCTTGGTGAAAGTGGGGTGTTAAAGTCCTCCACTCTGAGTGTGTTACTGTCGAATTCCCTGCTTATGGCTGTTAGTATTTGCCTTATGTATCGAGGTGCTCCTATGTTGGGTGCATAAATATTTACAATTGTTATATCTTTTGCTTTGATTGATCCCTTGATCATTATGTAGTGTCCTTCTTTGTCTCTTCTAATAGTCTTTATTTTAAAGTCTATTTTGTCTGATATGAGAATTGCTACTCCAGCTTTCTTTTGGCTTCCATTTGCATGGAATGTCTTTTTCCATCCCCTTACTTTCAGTCTGTATGTGTTTCTAGGTCTGAAGTGGACAGCAAATATATGGGCCTTCTTTTTGTATCCATTCAGACAATCTGTGTCTTTTGGTGAGAGCATATAGTCCATTTACATTTAAGGTAATTATTGATATGTATGTTCCTATTCCCATTTTTTAAATTGTTTTGGGTTCGTTATTTTAGGTCTTTTCCATCTCTTGTGTTTCTTGCCTAGAAAAGTTCCTTTACCAGTTGTTATAAAGCTGGTTTGGTGTCTCCTTTTTGCAGGCTGCATGTTTGTAGTGTCCGTTGTTGTTGGTGTCTGTCCCCAGTGGCTAAGTTTGGTTCAGTGGGTTGTTTAGGCTTCCTGGTGGAAGGGACTAGTGCCTATGTTCTGGTGGATGAGTTTGGATCTTGTCTTTCTGGTGGGCCGGTCGACATCTGGTGGTGTGTTTTGGGGTGACTGTGGACTTATTATGATTTTCGGCAGCCTCTCTGCTAATGGGTGGGTTTGTGTTCCTGTCTTCCTAGTTGTTTGGCATAGGATGTCCAGCACTGTAGCTTGCTGGTTGTTGAGTGAAGCTGGGTGCTGGTGTTTTTGCCATTTGATATTATGTGGAGCTGGGATGTCTCTTGTGGACCAGGGTCCTGAAGTTGGCTCTCCCACCTCAGAGGCACAGCACTGACTCCTGGCTGCAGCACCAAGAGCCTTTCATCCACACAGCTCAGAATAAAAGGGAGAAAATGTAGAAAGAAAGAATTAGTAGAAGTAGAAAGAAAGAAAGAAAGAAAGAAAAGAAAGAAAGAAAGAAGGGAGGGAGTAAGGAAGGAAGGAAGGAAAAATGAAAGAAAGAAGATAAAGTAAAATAAATAAAGATAAAATATAATAAAGTTATTAAAATAAAAAATATAATTATTAAGAGAAATAAAAAGAAAAGAAAATGAAATTAAAAAAAAAAAACAACGGATGGATAGAACCCTAGAACAAATGGTGGAAGCAAAGCTATACAGACAACATCTCACACAGAAGCATACACATACACACTCACAAAAAGAGGATAAGGGGGAAAAAATCATAAATCTTGCTCTCAAAGTCTACCTCCTTAATTTGGGATGATTCATTGTCTATTCATATGTTCCAGTGATGCAGGGTACATCAAGTTGACTGTGGAGCTTTAATCCACTGCTTCTGAGGCTGCTGGGAGAGATTTCCCTTTCTCTTCTTTATTCTCACAGCTCCCAGGGGCTCAGCTTTGGATTTGGCCCCACGTGTAGGTCGCCGGAAGGCATCTGTTCTTCGCTCAGACAGGACGAGGTTAAAGGAGCCGCTGATTCAGGGGCTCTGGCTCACTAAGGCCGGGAGGAGGGAGGGGCACAGAGTGTGGGGCAGGCCTGCGGTGGCAGAGGCTGGCATGACGTTTCACCAGCTTGTGGCACGCCGTGCATTCTCCCGGTGTAGTTGTCCCTGGATCCGGAGACCCTGACAGTGGTGGGCTGCACAGGGTCCCCGGAAGGGTGGTGTGGATAGTGACCTGTGCTTGCACACAGGCTTCTTGGTGGCAGCAGCAGCTGCCTTAGCGTCTCATGCCCGTCTCTGTTGTCCTCGCTTTTAGCCGCGGCTCATGCCCATCTCTGGAGGTCCTTTAAGCAATCGTCTTAATCCCCTCTCCTCGTGCACCAGGAAACAAAGAGTGAAGAAAAAGTCTCTTGCCTCTTTGGCAGGTCCAGACTTTTTCCTGGACTCCCTCTCAGCTTGCTGTGGCGCACTAACCCCCTGCAGGCTGTGTTCAAGGCCACCAACCCCAGACCTCTCCAGGAGCTCTGACTGAAACCGGAGCTCAACTCCCAGCCCCGCCCACCCCGGTGGGTGAGCAGACTAGCCTCTCGGACTGGTGAGTGCCAGTCGGCCCTGATCCTCTGTGCGGGAATCTCACCACTTTGCCCTCCGCACCCCTGTGGCTGCACTCTCCTTCACGGCTCCCCTTTATTTTCTTTGTCATTCCCATACAGGGTGTTAATATTTTGAGAAGAAATTCATGTAGCCCAGTAAGACCAAGTTCTCTGCTGTAGGGGTGGTAACCCTATTTATTAACTCGGCATGCTATGAAAAATTGTCTATGCTACTTTTTGCCTCTTGTCTTCACAGGCAGTGAAGGTAGAAAAGACCAATGTCTTAGTCCATTATTTTGATGGGTGGGACCACACAGCACAGGTCTGCTCTGTGGCCAGCATCTTCCTAGATCTATTTTGTAGGACATTCAAGGGACTCATGGTAAGAGAACAAGTGATTGGATTTTACTTTGCACAAGTGGGAGATTGTGAATATATCAAAAATAACTCTAAGCCAACTTGTTTTCTACAAGAAAGAGGTCTACGAAAACAGCTCTGTTTTTCAATTTTACTTCTTTCTACTAAACCAGGCATTTACAGTCTATATACTTTACATTTCACACTCAACATAGTTTCTTATCCATCAGAAGATAAGTTGGATGTAATAGGCTGATGTAAGGGGTAGGAAAGACTCCAAAATTTGCAAAATTTAATGGATGACTGTTAAATAAGCAGACTGATGGGCTCATCATCTTCAGCATCAGCTGTCTGGATGTCAGACTCATGATTTTTTTCTGGTGCTGAATCCAAGGTTTCTTAGTTTGTCTTTCTATGAAACAGAACTCACAGTAGGGGTTTATCCTCATTTTTCTTTTGGAAATGCTTTATTTTTTTTAATGCTTGAAAATGTGTTTATATCAAGATTTGTTCTTGGTATAAACTCAAGTACTGCCTTTGGATCCCTGTTTTTTCATAGGTTGAATGTAATATGTTTATCAAGATTGCACTTAGTGATGGCTCAAATGGCTTGTCACACATTATGTAAAAGCCAAAAGAAATGTGACAATGGATACAAATCCAGAATAATTTCTCCTGAGAGCTTTGAAATTTGAAGGCAGCCTGTATAGGCTTTTAAATGAAATCCAAGTAACTTATTTATCATTTGGGAAATTTACTTTATGATCAGTTCAATGCAAATTTGTACAAAGTCTACTTCAGCAAAGTGTTTTGATATTTTATAGGTATGGTTAATTAATTTTATGATTTTTCTAATGCAAAATTTTCTTTTTGTATAAAAATGAAGATCCTGATAGAGAAGGAATGGATATCCATGGGCCACAAGTTCTCCCAAAGGTAAAAATATTACTTTAAAGGTAGAGGCTAAGGAGAATTTATTAGAGTGAGATTTATCAAAAACCCCAATATGTTCTTGTGAAAGAAGGAAGAGTAGGTTGAACATGGCATAAATCTCTTTTCATCAAGAAACACATATTCCAGACACTATGCTAATGGACTAGGGCTACAAGGGTGACTAGAATATCATATCTGCCTTCAAAGTGAGCAAATGATTATATCAAATTGTTAAATATTTCAGGGAAGAACAGACATCATGGGCCACAGAGGAAAAAGTGCTTAACTGTTTCTGAAGAAGACAGGATAGCCTTCCAGGAATAAGCAGTATTTAAAAGTGAATTTTAGGGAATGAATAGGTGTTTGCTAGAGAGAACAGTGGGCATTCAGGCAGAGGGAATAATATCTAAGGCAATGTACCTTTTTTTTTTTTTTTGTAGTACGCGGGCCTCTCACTGTTGTGGCCTCTCCCGTTGCGGAACACAGGGTCCAGATGTGCAGGCTCAGTGGCCATGGCTCACAGGCCTAGCCACTCTGCAGCATGTGGGATCTTCCCGGACCAGGACACAAACCCATGTCCCCTGCATCAGCAGGCGGACTCTCAACCACTGCGCCACCAGGGAAGCCCACAATGTACCTTTTAACCTTGTATAAGAAGAAAAGGCATGTGCGCATTTCTGTTCTTTGGTAAGAGGTGGATGCAAGGACTTACATTTATTTAGTGACCTAATGCTGCTATAAGCCAAACAGCCTCACTGAGACTTTATGTGTGTTATGAGAACAATAACAAATGTTTACTGAACACCTAACAATATGCTGTATACTATATCAGACACTGAGCTGGTGCCAAAGGCATATGCAATGTGAGTTTTACCCTCAAGGAGGTTATTATTCAGGTCTTATTCTCCTGCATTGGTGTATATCCATTTAATTTCATTTGATTGTCGCTCTCTAGCTATTTGGATCCATCCATTCATTCTTCCTTTGTCAACAAACATTGGGCCAGGCAATATGCCAGGTTTTAAGGAGACTGTATTAGATCAGATATGGTCTCTGTCCCTTCTTTTATAGAAAATAAAATCAATGATGATAGTATAGTATGATAAGTGCTAAGTCAAAGGTAAACATATACAAGGGAACCTTACCTATTCTGGGCAAAGAAAGCTTTCTAGAACTGATGGCATTTTAGAACATTAAGAAGATGAGGCTGATTCTATTTTTAGTTTTTGAGAAATCTCCATAATGTTTTCCACAGTGGCTGCACCAATTTACATACCCACCAGCAGTGTAGGATGGTTCCCTTTTCTCTACATGGAAACTCCATGGAAGGACAGGAGGAGAAGGAACTAAGTTTTTGAGTGTCCAAGGCAGAAGTTAGATATTTTTACTTGATAGCCTTGATCTTTTTCATTAACACTGTATACATCAATGTGAAATGGGTTAGGGTTTAAGAAGATAGGTTAAAATTTGCAAGAGCTGTAAGGTTTAATGGGAAAACTGTGTTAAGGCTATACATAAAGGTTATTTGGGAGCAATTAAGTTCCAGCTGAGTATGGAGACTTATGGTATCAATTTGCATGGTTTTATAATTTTCTCAAGCAGCATTTATCAGTCAAGATTTGGGAGTAGAGAACATAGCTTCTTCGGCTCATCAATGGTTGGATATTGAAGGAGAATAATGACAAAAAAATGACCAGAAAATTGAAGAAAATGGGGACAGAATAGTTGATGGGGCAGAATATAGTCTGGGTAAGGAAGAAAGGGAAGCTAGTAGGAATCTGGAAAGGTGATAGGTCCAGAGATTGGGCTGGAGGAGATAAGATGAGCAGCCTTTGGAAATATAATATACGGTGATCAGAGTAGGATATTGAGATTAAGGTTTGAAAGTGGAGGAAGGACCTTTAGCTAACATCAAGAAACAGCCATGGATACGAGAGGCTGATGTGAAGTAGAGGTAAAGATCGGTGAAGATAATTAGATTCGAGTTAGTTAAGGAACCTGCTAAGCCAAGTGTATGTCATCTGCATCGACTCCAAAGATAAGTACTTATGACTGGAGTCAGATTCTTCAGAAAATGTGGAGAAGTGACCCAAAGATTGTGGAACACAACATTGAGGAAAGTGAACAACAGCATGACCCATAGTGGAAGTGTTTTTAAGAGAGTGAAAGGAGTAGTAGAAAGGAGAAAGCCGATCCCACTTCTGCTGTGCTTTAGGATTATTATACATGGAGAGTGGAATGATGAGCATTCTCCATTTGATTTGGGCCCCAAGAAGAAGTAGTGTCCTTGGTGAGATGGATTTCAATTAAATCAAAAGGTAGAACATTCAATGTAAAAGCTAAGGATGCCATGTTTATTTCTAGTGGAATAGTGTTTCTAATGGATGGTAGAGTTGGGAAAGAGGACATCATGAGAGAGGAAACATTAAACAATTCTGGGATGAGGTTTTTTCATTCATTTAATAAACTTATTAAATACCCTTTTCATACCAGGCACTGTCCAGTAAACAAGATAGATATGGTCCTTGCTCACATGAAGCTAAAGGTAGCTGTTTAAATTAATTAAAATTAAATACAATTGAAAATTCAGTTCCTTAGTCACACTAGCTGCATTTCAAGGGCTTAATAGTTAGTGACTACCATATTGGACAGCACAAATATGGAACATTTTGATCATTGCAGAAAGTTCTATTGTAGAGGATGTAAAAGGAAATAGAATAGATTACCAAGGGCTTACAATCTTGATAATAGTGAAGGATGCTGGTGGCTAAGAGGTCCATTGGGATTAATGAACTTTGAGATTCTGGGTGACATTTTGGCATTAAGCATTTCCTTACCAATGCCAACAGAGACAAAAGGTGAACTTGCTATAGCCTATTCCAAACAGTGTAATCCCTGATGTTAATCATTGTCTTTCTTTACCTTTATTTGCATCTCTCAGGTGTGGCCACCTGGATGGGGACGCTAAAGAAGTATCCCCTATCTTCACACAGTTCCTAGACTGTATCTGGCAGTTAATGGAACAATTTCCTTGTGCCTTTGAGTTTAATGAAAATTTCTTGCTGGAAATTCATGACCATGTTTTCTCCTGCCAGTTTCGGAACTTCCTTGGAAACTGCCAGAAGGATCGAGAAGATCTGAGGTGAATTCAGTTTGTGAAAAAACACTGAATAGGGAGAGGGGATCAGTGTAAAAGAAATTTACCCATCACCTTGAATTTGGGACAGCAGTTCACGAAAGGGGAGGAGATGACAACTATAAAAATAACTTTTGAAGCATAAATCACTCAGTGTTTGCATGGAGATTCCTCAAAACCTCAGATTCTTTATCTGTGAAATAGGGATAATACCTACTTTTCAGAGCAATCCTGAGGAACCAGTAAAACAATGGATGTGCAAGGACTTTGTAAGGAATGAACAGGTATGAGTAGTCAATAGCTACAGTCCTTTATCATTTGTGTCAGAGATCACTAAATGGCAGTTCATAGGCCAAATCTAGCTTAACAGGTATATTTTGTTTAGTCTGTGGAGTATTCTTTAAACTGTGAATAAGTTGTCAACATTTAAATATCACGATATTTCACATAAAAATCCAGTTATTTTAGGATTTTTTCCTAAATCAAAAAGCTGTTGTGCCAAGATATTCTGCAAAATCAGGAGCTCTGGCAGTACTGGACCTGCATTTTCTAATGGCAGTAATCAGCTAAAGCTGAATAACAGCTGCTCCACTTGAATGAAGCACACACTCGTTTGTCACAGTTCTCACCACTCTCTATAGTTTATTCTCAGCGCACTTCTAATGTTATCTTCCCAGCTCCTATAGGCAGTTAGATTTGCACCAGACTTAAAACTCTAACATCCTCACAATATATAAAACGTAAATAATTTTTGAAGTTGACAAGATAGAGTTTCTGTGAATAGTATTCTCCTTGTTTTAGAGTCAGAGAAAATGAAATAGAGAGGGAAGTAGCTGTCGCACAGCCCACTCTTGTTTCATAGCTGTTGGTTGAGTGGCAGTTAGCTCAAGTTCTCAGACCCCTCTATGATGTATCCTGGATGAATTGGATGACATCTCTAATTCTGTTTTCTTGTC